TGTGTGTGTGTGTGTGTGTGTGTGTGTGTGTGTGTGTGTGTGTGTGTTACGTAAGCATGACTGTGGCCCTTCATTAGGGCTGCTGTTTGGCTCCTGCTTTGGTCACAGTTCACTAACCTGTCGGCCCATAACAGAGATGGGAGTTGGACGCGTCGCTGTGTTTCTGTCCCGGTGCTCCTCCAGCTATGTATTTGGCCTCAGTATGCTTTACATTTTACAGACATGCCCTCAAACATCAGCTGCACTTGTATTTACCCGGTGCTTAAGTGCGTCTAAGTAGCTTCACAGACAGTGGGTTCCGTTCTCTGTGTATGCCCTCCCACAGCCTGGCCTCAACAAGTTGCACTGCTGAGCTGTAAGTGGTGAAACACTATCTTAATCTTAGATTGGGCAGCGTTCTCGGTGGCGGTTGACAAATTGAGATACAATGTCAAAATGTCAGGATTTTTTTTCTTTGGTGTAATTTCACGTGATTTTCCTGCACAACAATACAGAGGCAGTTACTGTCTATTGTACATTATTTATTTCCTCCCTGTGCACAAGGTTTGGTCCCCTGCCTTGCTTGAGTGACAAAAGTTATGGCTACAGTGCTAAGCTAGTTACATATTAGCCAGACTTTTAGATGTTTTCTTAAAAATCCGAAGATGTTAGTTTGACATTTTAAGAAATATCCATTTAATTCCTTGCCAAATGTTGAATGAGAGGATTGATACCACTCTCCTGTCCGTCAGTTAGGCTAAATATGGTGTGAGGAGACGTTTAGCTTAGCTAAGCACAAACACTAGAAGCAGGGGGAAAAGGCAAGCCTGGCTCTGTCTGTTTTGAAGGTATAAATAATACACCTACCAACACCTATAAAATTCACTAATTTACACATGTCTCTTTTGTTAAATCCCGTACAAAAAAAGGAATGTAAAAACAGTAAATTGGAGTTTAGGTGCTGGAACTTTGTTTTCGTAGCCAGTCTAGCGAAGCTAGTAAAGTTAACGTTACAAGCTAACATTGTAGGAAGCTAACATTACTGTGAGGCAGTCGCATTTTTACCACTTTTACCTTTTTTTTTAAAGTGCTCTCTCACATTACGTCTGAGACGCTTCAGTTTTATAATTATCCGTTTGGTGCGACATGCTAATATTTTGTTAGCACAGCAAACAGCATAGCCTAATTGAGTGAGGCTAACCGTCTCCTGGCCCCGGCGTCATATTCAGTGAATATTCTCATCAACTCTAAGCAAGAAAGCGAAAAAGTATATATATCCCTACTCCTATAACGTGAGCTTTAGGTTTTATTTTTGGATTTTTCCATCTTAATTTCTTTGTCTGAGGAAGCATTTGCTCTTCATAATCTACCAACTCTGACTCCTTCCCTCTGCATTCACATGTGGCTGTCTGTCTCTGTGTGTTCCAGGTGACCTCCACATGCATCCCGGTCCCTGCCAATGATCTGGTGAGTTTCCTTTTCTTTTCCTCGATAGCATTCTGTTTACAATGACGAGTTTTCCCTCTTCGTCTGGTCTTATTACAAGGTATATGAGCCCTCAACCCGGTTAGAGCTCGGGTTCATTCCTGAAGCACTGGAGGATTCCAGTCTCGAAAAAGAAAAAGAAAATTGTTGATGTTGCTACAGGAAGTAGTAATGTTTATCCATTAGAGAGTCTGTTTGTTTAATTAACTCTCCTTTCCTTCCTCTGATGCCCCCCTCTTTTTCGCTCCCTTCTCTCCTCTTTTCTTCCTCTCTCTCACCTCCGTTCGACCTCCTCCTTTTGCCCTACTTCCTTCCCACCATCCTCCTCTTTCTCTTCTCCCTCGCTCTGTCACCGCTTCTTCCACGCATCCAGCAGCGTAGAGGGACCGCTCCGTCCCGACACATCCAGCACCTGGTGAGCACACCTCCCATTCTTTCTCCTTGTCCTCCCAACCCGCACACTTTTTTTCTCTGCATCTTCCCTTTTTCCTCCCCCCAGTGTCATGCTATCCCTCTTGAAAATGTCCAAACATGTCAGAGAAAAACCCGTTTGTGGCTTCATTGAATTTGATGTAGCACATAGACCTGCTCAACCTGCTGAAATAATCAATAGGAAAGTGTCAGACACGTTTGTTCTGAGGGTTGCGCTCGAGTTAAAGTCATGAAAAGTCATTCAAGTCAAAATGTGATGTTGAATGTGCTCAGCAGATTTGATGGCAATCTGCCGACTAGATGACGAGACGTGTTAGAGCTGATATATCCCATCAGAGCTGATGTGTTGTGTCAGTGGATGATCTGGCCTGGTGGTGGCGCTAGAAGGAAGGTCAGGGGGTCACCAAAAACATTAGAAATCAATCCTTGGGGATGTGAATACTGACGTCATTGTTTAAATAATAAATGGAATGGAATAATGTTTTGGCATATATTGATCGAGGGCAAATATTTGAGGGCATATTTTTGTGTGGAGAGGGGTATGATCAGCAACAAAGGTCCCAAGGCCGGAATCGAACCTGGGAGGTTTAGGTGATATGCCGTGCGCTGTAATCCCTTAGCTACCGTGCATTTTTAGCTTTAAAAGTCAAAATTTATAATAAGACCGTTAGCTCGGGTCAGCACTGTTAGCTACTAGCTGCCGGCTCAGTCGTCACCACGTCAAGAGAGCGTGTGGAGGCAATCCCTCAATCATAGATATGCTCTGAATTTAGAATGAAGCACCTTTAATACAAAACAAATATTTCTTTCTGATGAGTCTGATAAGAACAAAACTATATATCTGACATTATGAAATAATCAATATAGAATATTGTATTCTTTTATCAATGATTTTGAGAAGTATGTTCCTTCACTAAATAATTGTATCAGAGAGAAAACCTTTGAAATAAAATTACATCTCCAGATAACTCAATTTCAATGCTTTAGTAATTTACTCCCTCCATGTTTTTTTTTATGTGATTGTAACTGTAGATAAATACTGTATGGTTGATCTGATGTATTGGTTCAATATGTGGAAATAAAATAAAAGCATTTGAGCTTGACTGCTCCATGTATTTGGGTTATGGGATGGCCTCATTAACCAACCTTGTCTTTTTTTTCCCACAGGGATCCACCAAGTCGCTGACCTATACCAAACAGAGAAACACCCTGCCGAGGTAAAGGTCATCTCATTCATCTCTTGTGATGAAAACATGCTATTGAAGTGCCTGTCGCGTTGCTCCAAAGAGCTATTTATTCTACAGAAAACATTCAACACAAATCACGCCAATGGGTTTCCACGTCTGTGCCGCTCCCCTCCCCTTTAACGTTTTTTTCTCCTCCCCGTTCCTCCAGGAGCTTCAGCGTGGACCGCGTGATGGAGAGGGTGATGGAGCGCCACTACGACTTCGACCTGACCTACATCACCGAGAGGATCATCTCCGTGTTCTTCCCCCCGAAGCTGGAGGAGCAGAGGTACCGCCTCAACCTGAAGGAGGTGGCTGCCATGCTCAAGTCCAAACACCAGGACAAGTTTCTGGTGAGCGAGCAGAGATGCGCCGCACAGGAGTAGTAGTTTGTCTGTGGTGTTTTGTTGTAGCATAGATTCTACCTCCCTCCTTAGAGTTTCATTCAGCTGAGGATGCTTGTTGCACAATAGAGACGATAGATTTTGACACTTAGCAACCCACAAATTAGCAGTCTGTTTTTCTTTCTTTCACACCCACAATAAACCAGCTGAAACGATAACTGGTCACAGTGATAAACATCTTTTCTCCTTTAGCTCCTGAACCTCTCCGAGAGGCGCCACGACATCAACCGGCTGAATACTAAGGTAGAGTTTTTCTTCTTGTAGTTCTCGTCACTGAATTCAGTTCACAGCCTTTGGTTTAATCTCCTTCAACCACACGATCTCTGCCCTCCTTCTCAACCACCAGGTCCATGACTTTGGCTGGCCCGACCTCCACGCCCCACCGCTGGATAAGATCTGTGCCATATGCAAGGCCATGGAGACGTGGCTGACCTCCGACCCCCAGCACGTGGTGGTCCTGCACTGCAAGGTCAGAGTTCAGGGGACCGCCAGGGTTTTTTTCGTCCACACTGTTTCCCAGGCTCAGAAACGGGCAGAAGTATCGAAGTGTAGTGATGAGTGAAGTTTTGAAGTATCACAGCAGTATTGTAGTACACGGAATACTTTGAGAAATTTTTTCATTGTGCAACATCAGCATTTTCAATATATGTTTTAAGTTATAACAAACAAACAAAAAAAGGTCAAAAGGTTTCACAGTGGAAAATTTGAAGTGTAATACAGATCTCTCATCAGAAAAATGTAATTAAGCTGTCAAGAGTAAGAGTTCTCTTTATGCAACAGAATTGTGTAATTACACTGTTTGCATGTGTCATCTTTAGAAGTAAAGTTTTGTGTGTAAAATCCTGATCGGCAAAGTGACTAGCAACTAAATTACTGCCAGAAGTGTATAATGGAGTTAAAGTGCAATATTTCCCTTTGAAATGGAGTGGGGTAGAAGTATAAAGTAGCATGAATTACCCAGGAACAAGTACATCAAAATGATACTAAAGTATGCTGAATGTTCTTAGTTGCATTCCACCTCTGGCAGACAGCTGGAAAGGCTGCTAACACAGTATGGAACAATGTTACAGAAATATACAGCTAACCACCTGAATGCTTATTTATGATTACATTCTGCAGCTGCCATCATGGATCAATATGAACATGTGTGAATGTATCTCACTAGCTTTTACGTTCAATCAATCCTAATCTCTCCATTCACTACTTGATGTACTACTGATGTAAAAGTGCTATAAATTCAGTTAGATATTGCAGTGAAAATATAACTTGACTAAAACCAAAATTGCAGAGTGCACCACGCAATCAATGAGCCAGAAAATGAACCCTACAATCTGTGTCACACTGTGTCAACTCGATGTTTAACTCCCAGTTTACGTCACCCTGAAGGAAAGAAGTGTCAATATGAACCTTTTCCCCGCTATCAGACCAGCTAACACTGAGAGCGACCGAGCTCACACAGCTTGTCTGGTCGTTTTTATTTATTGGTTTTGGTCAGGAGAATTTAAATGCTAAAAGCAGACTGCTTCTGTGGTCCGCTGACTTCCCAGAACATTCCAGCTATACAGGCAATCCTTTCCCAGCTGCACATCACGCCAGGGACGGGAGTAAACACAAGTTTGTGTCAATGAAGAATCTTCCATTGAGGGGCACACGGAGCAAAACAAGCTTTAATTTGTGCTCCGAGCGGAAGTGCAGCCTCCTTATTGGTATCTGGAGGGGTCGCATTAGGAGCTTGAGGCTGGGATGTCTTCGGAATGTGTCAGGAAGTACGGAGCACCCGGAGTGACAAAAAATTTAAAAAAAACCACAGGGAGCTTTTTAATTTGAATCCAAAGCTGCTTGTCCCTGGCGTGTCTCCATCATTTCTCTCTGTCTAACCCCTGCAGAAATAAAATGTCACATATTACAAGCTGTGGAAAAAAAGATGTCTCAGCGCAAAACCAGCTCATCATGACTCCCCTCTCTCTCCCTACAGGGCCACAAAGGTAAAACGGGCGTGATTATTGCAGCCTACATGCACTACAGCAAGATCTCCGCGGGGTGAGTGTGGAGGCATCCAAAAGCCACAATTTAACATTTTTTGGTTCGTCAAAATATCCACACATGGAACACATTAACGGTTATTTGAACTGATGCCCTAAAACACACTGGATTTAAGGTCAACATCTCACAAGTGTGTTTAAAAACTAGTGCATCTAGTGGCTGATCGCTAATTCAAGTATACGCAGCACAATGATTTACATTCAGGCTTTTGTTGATAGGGCGTTTGATGAATTAAGCCCAGTGGATTTTGTGCAGGAACAGTGGAAACTGGTTTATCCTGTAGCCAATGCCAGCTGTATCCTCTCCATGTACTCTCTGGCATGTGGAGGGTCTGGTGCAAGTTCCATGATGGAAATTGTTGGTTTAAAGCGTGTGTGTGTGTTTGTGTGTGTGTGCAGGGCGGACCAGGCTCTCAGTACTCTGGCCATGAGGAAGTTCTGTGAAGATAAGGTGTCCTCTTCCCTCCAGCCGTCCCAAAACAGGTGAGGGGAAATTGGCAAGGGGGGGGTTATGGGATTCCACATCATAACAGAAGTTAATAAATGCATCCCCATTTAGCATCCTATTTAAGGGAAAGAGAACACTGCTTTTAGCTTTGAGCTCTTCATATGTACATCTGCAGGATTTGATTGATCTTTAACCTCAGGTTTAGGTCTTTTTCTCATCTGACATTCTTGTCATGTCACAGTAGGTGTCGATAATAAGATGGCCAAATTCCATTTTGCTGCTTCAGTTTGAGGGTCCTGGTATTGTGCATGCTGCCTCACTGTCACGGCTTACTGGGACGCTTGAATAGAACAGAGGCCTTGTTAATTAGTAACACATGGGTTTTTCCTACTATGAGTCAAAATGTCTCCTGTGAAATAGGCACAGAAAACAGTCAAAATAAATGTAAGGAAGCAACGTGATAGTCATTGAGAGTAAAGAAAATGATTAAATAATGATAATATAATGAAACAAAGTTCAAAGTGCTTTCCCATTTCATTCACTGCAAACAAATGTCAATTTGACATACACTAGAGAGAATGATACACAACAATACATTCGCATTGTCACAGATAAAAGAGAACAGTTTCAAAATTTTGGGGAATACACTTAATTGCTTTCTTGTCGAGATTTAGATGAGAAGATCTGCTCTCATGTCTGTATGAAACTATAACCAGGAGGTGGTTACCTCAGCTTAGCTTAGCTTAGCCTAGCTTAGCATATAGACAGGAAGCAGGGGGAAACAGCCAGCCCTGGCTCTAGGTGTCTGAAATTCCAAACACACTTACAGATTTACATTAATCTCATACTGCAACCCAGTCGGCAGACATTTTTTAGACATTATACGTTTCGGCAAACCACTGGATACGTTCAATAACAGACGTTTCAGAAGCAAAAAATATGTTTCATATCAGCCTCGTATCACATGCAGAAACACACTTTGCCATGTGGTTAACGTTGTGAAACGATTGATGAGGTTTAGGCAACAAAACTACGTGGATAAGGTTAGAAAAACAGTCATGGTTTGTGTTAAAATGATTACGTAAGAACGTAGCGTAACAACGTATCGTAACAACGTAGCGTAACTAGCATAAATAAATAAATGCAGACTAAGCAGACTTTTTTTTTACATAACATCAAGTAACAACTCAATGTTTACTTTAAAATGCAAACGGGAAACTAACAGCAATCTCTTGGGTGAAAGTCCTGTATGTGTTTGACCCACCCGTTATGGATTTTCTCCTTCCTTTTACTTGTTATTTTACCACGTAAGTAACCTTTAACAACGGTCGCTCCATATACTACATCACATGCTCTGCCGAATGCAAAATTCCACAAAAAAACAACAACAAAATGCAAAAAGTCCACATTCAACCTATCCGTGGTTTGCAGAAACGTACCATTACAAAATGTTTTCCCGGCGACTGGGCTGCATACTCATATTGAAGGCAGAAAACTTGTCAAGACAATGACAACTAATTCAAGAACATCCCTGAATACAGTTCAACTGTGACAGACACAAGAAATATGCCCTAAACCGACGGGCAAATGGTTTTAGGAAAAGACTCAGAAAGATGTTTTTCCTGTCTTTCTACCTGCCTCGCTCTCTCCTTTGAAGAAACTACTGCTGGCTGGCTATCTGACAACAGCTCCGTCTGCTCCGGGGCTGTTAGCCTTTTTTCTACCCTCGTAAAGACACTTCTCCATCCAAGTCTCCATCTGTTATTGTTATTCCACATGTTAGTCTCACTCATTTCGTATCGCATCAATCTCTCTCTTTCAGGTACATCTATTACTTTGGGGGCCTTCTGTCCGGGGCGATCAAGATGAACAGCAGCCCTCTCTTCCTCCACCAAGTTCTCATCCCATCACTCCCCAACTTCCAGGGCGAAGGAGGTGTGCTTGTTTAGTCTTTTTAGCCAAAACACCAGTTCTAGTTACACAATGTAGCCATCTCAAAATGATGGGACCTAGAGTATTAGATAGTAATTTTACATACAGAATATCAACACAATCAGAAGCAAATAATGAATACATTTAATGATTGTATTGCTGCCAGTGGAAATGGTTTGAGCAGTTCATTTAGAAGCCAGTTTACAAAATGTGGTCAGACAAGTTATAAAGCAAACACAGTAAGAATGACCTTTTTAATGTTTGTGTGGGTGGATTTTAAGTGGACATCAGTAACAGGTAGTAGTAGTAGTAGTAGTAGTAGTAGTAGTAGTAGTAACAATGACATCACATTATCTGCAAATACAAACTCCAATGCATAGAACGTAATTACAAAGCTATCAATTTTAATAAGCAGATATCTACACGTGAATGTAGAATCTGTCTGCAACGGGACAAGCTGTTGGTATCGGACGCGTTCTTGTTTTGTTTGTAGTCCGAGTGGTATTGTCCAATCACGTTTGAGCGTGGGGCGTTTAGGCTTCGCAAGTGGTCGCGGAGCTTGGTCGTGCACTTTTTAGTAAGATGGTGCGGCGTGTGCGATCACGTGACTGTCACAAATAGTTCACTTATAAAAGCAGGGATTATACAAAGAAGGCCAATTCATATTTAAATGTTTTAAATGCACTTAAAAATCTTAATTTGAGTAAATATTTTGCAGCCAAATCAAATAGTTTACAGGATATTCAACCTTAGTTTCTTTATAATGCATGTAATTCATGACTTCTTTCTTTACAGAGCTTGTACAAAGGCAATAAAGTAGTCTATGAATATGAGTTTACAGATAGTTACAATCCCTCCTCGGCATTGTGGAGGTTGGTTTATGGCTTTTTGCCGGTTACACCCATAGACTTCTATGGGACAGTCTCTGGGTTACGCTCATTGTCTTTTTGATTCCTCACAGTTCATTTTGTTTGTTTGCCTAAGAGGCATCTTTAAATGTACATGTGATGTGACGGCGCTCTGACAGGCCTTCCCTGCTGAATCACAGCGATGCTGCTCTGCTGACTGCACAGCGCTCATAAGTGGTCACATTCACCCTCCACCCACGCAAACCATTCTAGTCTTGTTTATCTTTAATCTGCTGATCGAGGGAGGGTGGGTGGCAGACAGCACATTCCTCTAACTTCATGTCGATAAAGATTGCTCAGTCTGAAATTCTCTCCTCCTCTTCCTCCTCTTAGGTTACTACCCCTTCTTGAAGATCTACCAGTCCATGCAGCTGGTCTACACTTCAGGCATATAGTGAGTCTCTCTTGCCGTCACATGGCCAACTGATAGCACAGATCAGGGTGTACTTGTTGGCTCCGGGGTGTTTTTGGCTCATGAGCTGAAGTTTCAACACCGTCATGGAGTGATTAAAGAGATTGAAGTGAAGGAAATTACACAAAGGGCATCTTTCTTCTTCGATCCAGCTTTGAACTCATATCTTGTAACTTGATTGTTTACGTCAAGGCCTTTCCAAGCTGATACTCTGGAATATAACCACTGTCGAGTCAAAACATGATGAAAATGTCTGTGACACACAAACAAGGAAATCAGTTGGTCCCACACTATCTGCTTGCGTTCCTTATATATTGTACTTATTTAACGGGCTTGTTTGTGTCTGCTGGGTTGTCGACAGTGACCTTCAGGGCACCGGGGGCCGGCGGCTGTGTGTGACCATCGAACCGGCGCTGCTGCTGAAGGGTGACATCATGGTGAGTTCACATGGGAAGGAAATGACAAACAGAGGAACCCATGGTGTGGGTGGGGTCGCAATAATGACTTATTAGCTTTTTAATCTTCAACGGAGAGGAGAAATATTTAAATAAATGGTACATACACTGACTTTTTTTTACTTTTGCCATATCTCATCTCTGAATTATACATGTTGGTCTGGAAAAAGTTTTTGCCGCTTTGTGTAACAAGGAGTCACAATGTGGCCGTTATTTCGGAAAGTGTAGGTGCCGCTCAGTTTGCACAAAGCCTCAGATTTACTGCCCTCGTTATCCCACACGCATTTTAAGCTGCATCTCTTCCCTCCTCTCTGCCGCCCTCTGCAGGTCAAATGCTACCACAGGCGAGCCCAGAGCGCTGACAGAGACACCGTGTTCAGGTTGCAGTTTCACACCTGCACCATCCACGGATCCCAGCTCTGGTTTGGCAAAGGGGAGTTGGACGAAGCTTGTACTGGTACGTTTATTTAGGTGGTATAGAGCATGTTTTAATCCTCTACCTGTGTAAATTTGGTACCACAGTATTTGATTAACTTTTCCTCTTTTGGGAAGCAGGTGTCCTGTGTAGTATGGGGCATATACAATGGCTACAATGTTATCAGGATCCCCTTAAAGCATCTATAATAGTCTCTAATATTTTTAGTATTTACAATGGATCACACGACTACTCAAACATGAAATGGGTCACGCATAGTTATGAACCCACAGAGAATTATCACCCAACTCTGCAGCTTCCCACTGCTTACTGAAATGAATAGGCCCGTTTAACAGCAGCCATTTTGACATGTCATTGCAGGGTAAGCACAGGTGTGAATAGTAAGATTTATTATGGCCCTGTCACAGGGCCTGTCACATTATGGCCCTGGCATTGTGCATGCTGGCTCACTGGAATGACTGACACACTAAATTTGATCAATTACACCTGTGTGTTCGCCCTGTTATGACATGTCACAATGGCAGCTAATAGCCAGTCATTTTTCAAGGGAATTTGCGTGGACCAAAAACAGAGCTAAAAGAATTAATATTGGAGTGGACACAAACAAGACCAACGACTGCTAATGTGGCTCCATATTTGCTGGATGTATAAATGGGGATTCATGTATGGCTGGGAGACAATTCAATATGATCATGTATCGTATCGTGATGAAAACATATGTCGAGATTCACAATGGCGTCATCTAAATTGATAATAACTAGCACGTTTAGCTCACATTTTGGAGAAAAGCTGATGTGAAACATTTTGGGGTAGTATCATTTGGCAGGGGTTTTGTAGTTACATCCCACTTTACATTAACCACTCAGTTCAATGCCAATAACAAAGTGCTATGTTCATTTTGCACTAAAGTTCTTAATTAAATGTAATTTAGTTTTAATATCATACAAGATAAGAGACTTTGCCATGCAGTTATTTCATATTGACTATGTATGTACTGAATTACCAGAAAGCATGCTATACCGTGATATACATCGTTGTCGAGATATTAATGACCTATACAGAGAAAGAAGATTTTGGCCATATCACCCAGACCTAGATTCATGTAAAGTTAGCTAACATTAGCCACATTAAGCTAACTGGCCATACCTGACCAATTCAGGCTTGCTTGAATGTGTGTAATTGGTCACGCGTGAGTATGTTTGTCTGTCCGTCCACTTTTAATCTATACTGCTGGACCCATCAGTATGGTCAAGGACCTCTTGTGGTTGCTACTCATGTCGGTAGGAGGAGAGCTAGTTGGTTGTTCGTAGCCGATGGGCTGCAGTGTGTTTGGCTAACAGAGCTAACAGCTAACGGGACTAAGCACACAGCAGAAAAATACGTCTGGTTCTCTTGCAATCTAGACAGGGGGACATTGGAGTTTGTATTCATGCAAACATTGGTTGCAGACACACCCAGCAGAGATCTTAGTGCACTAGTTGCTTATGAGTTCATCTTTTGATTCATAAAATTAAGTTTGTGTTAAATCTTAAAATCAAAAGTTATGCAGTCTCCCTTCAGATGTAAAATTAAGTATTTTGCTCACTAAATGCCAGATTGGATTTTTTTCTTCCTTTGATACTTTGATACTCTGAAATTGTTGTAGGATAATCCTCACATACAACTAACTAACATAGTCCTTGATAATAACCATTGTGGGAATGTGTTCACAGTGGTTTGCTGCCCAGAATGGCCTCATGTTACTGTGGTTGAATAAATCCCTTAATACTAGTATCTTAAGCTCCATCCTGGACATAATAACAGCTCCCTGGAGGTGAGTATATATCGAGAATGAGTTGTACTGTGTGCAGGGAGGGAGTGTCTCTAACCACCCCTCAGAGAGAGCAAAGAGGCTTAGTGAGCACCGGCCTGTTGCTGAAGTCTGTAATGAATATGCTCATTACCTCGTTTCCTCCTTGGTTTCACTTTCTCTGAAATGAAAAATGTCTGTTGTGTATGTGGTCTTCAATCCATAACACTATTCGTTTTCAAATGTACATAAACGCACCATTGTGTGTTCAGAGCACATCTGTGGAAGGTATTTGCATATTTGATGTATTGGAGCAGAGACCATGTTTGATTCCTTTCTTTAAAGCACGGCGTGCTTTCATAAATCTGTGACTGTGATGTAGAGAAACTGTATTTTTATATTAGGATATTGGGATATTTGCCATGTTCTTTGACAATTTTAACATATTTTTCCCTCTATGTTTTGTTTTTCCTTCCCTTCTCCCCAGATGAGCGTTTTCCATCTGATGCCACAGTTGAGTTTGTCTTCTCCTCTGGACCTGAGAAAATGAAAGGTGGGTTCTCTCTACTTCAAATCCTCCTTCATACCTGCTCCACTTTGAAAGTTTAGTTCATATTTGTCAAATGGGTGAAAGATACGTTGAATGAAATGCTCAAATGCACTAATACTAATAGCCAAAGTAAAGTAAAGTGGATGTGTCTTTCCCCAGGCCGCGAGTACCAGAAGAACGACCCGGCTGTCACAGTCGACTACAACACAGCTGACCCTGTGGTCCGCTGGGATTCCTATGAGAACTTTAACCAGCGATACCAGGACAGCCTGGAGGGTAACACACTAACTGTTCTCTTCAGATCCAATCTCAGCATGATTTTATGTAATTACTAAAGAGGGATGAGTACAAGAAGTTGGCAGACGTCAGTAAAAACAGACTTCAAGTAGATTTCAGGCTCATAAATGGCAATATGCCAATGACTACTGTCAATTTGAGAGCTGATCGTCGTCATCTTCTTTCTCTTACAGCAGATATTGCCCACACCAGAGGTCCAGTAGATGGCAGTCTCTACGCTCAGATAAAGAAGCGCCGAGGTCCCGGCTCTGGTTCCCTCACCTCAACCAATGGCAGCAGCCCAGTGGCGGGCCCTGAGGAAGACAGGCCAGATCATGTTACCGCTCGCGGTTCTGACTCCGCCCTCTCAGGCCACTCCGTCCATTTGAACCAATCATCCGTCCATCCAGAGCGCAAGGAGGATCCCATCCGCCTGCTGCCCCCGACCAGGCACGAGAGAGAGGAGCTGGAGCGTCTTCTCGGAGGCATAGAGGGAAACCGGGATGGAGAGCGAGAGACGGCCATCTTGGACGACGGCGATTCTTTGCCCTCCGAGAGAAGTGGAACGCTGAGGCTCAGTCGGTCCTGCTCCTGCCGGAATGGGTACCGGTCCCAGCGTTGCGCCGAGCCTGGCTGCGACCGCACCCTCCTCATGCCCAATGGTTACTGCCTCGACCGGGCCCCCGGCACCAATGGGCACCACGGGGCGACCCCTTCTGCCAGCCCCAACCCAGCTTCTCCTCCGTCACACATGGATCTGTGCCAGCACTACAGCCCCCACTCCCACCAGAACCTTCCGCCTCCAGATCTGGTGTGGGACCGCCAGAGTGGCCCTCCGCACTACCTGCACCGCTCTTGCTCGGAGGCTCCCTCATCTCGACTTATGTACCCCTACCCATCGCCAGACCCTCACTCTCACAACCACCCGCTTCACCACCCCCTGTCTGCCCCGGGTCGCCTTTGCTGTCGAGAGGACGACTATGGCCCCTATCACCACCCTCCTCCACCGCACAGCCACCACCATCCCCACCCACACCACCCCAAACCCTCCACCAGCCCTACCTACCACGATATAATGCTAATGGATGGCCTGCCCTCCCCTGGCTGCCCTTGCAGAGACTGCAGCATCAGGAGAGACGACTCGGCGGCCTATCACAGCCTGAGGCTGGACCAAGGTGACGGCTTCCACTGGGACAGAGAGGCGGAGCTTCAGCAGAGGGAGGTGGGGCTTAGGAGAGCCAGGGAGGCGGAGTTACCCAGAGGGTCAGAGCTCCACTGGGAGAGGGATCCTGGGCTGAGACGAGGCCGAGAGATGTCCCTCCACTGGGAGAGAGACAGGGAGGCAGAGCTGCAGTGGGAGCGGGACAGAGAGGCGGAGTATTGGCACAGGAGGGCCACCGTGGCCTCCTACGGCCCACAGGGCCACGATCTTCCAGCCTTCACGTTTGACCCCTTGCCATCGGGTCACCCAGCTTATCCAGAGGCGTCGAGGTCCCATGCTCATTCCCACATGGACCTGAAGTACAGCAGCAGCAGCAGCGGTTACCAAACGCCGCGCCAGGTGTGCCCCTGCTCACCGTACCAGCCCTCGCCGTCTGAAAGCAGGGGCTACGCCTCGGGCTACCAGTCTGAGTCCACGTCCCCGCTGCCCCCGGCTTCCTCCATGACGGGGCCCTGCAGCCATAGCAATGGGCCGGCAGACCACAACCATCACCATCCAGACTCACAGCAGTCATACGGCTCTGACTCACACACTGGTGAGTCACACTGAATCAGAGACACTGACAAATGTGAACAACATGTTTGAATTATCCATAACCAACAACAGCATGCACTGAATCAGTAATGCTTAACCAGACAGATGCCTTACACATTACTCACAAATTGTGTCTTCTCGCCATCTTTTCTTGATTTTATATTTGCCTCATATAAGCTCATAATATCTCCACTGAGCTTCCTTTTTTTGTTGATGTTCTCCATTGGTCCCGTCCTTTTCAGATGGCCTCCGGAGCTCCGGTGAAAGTGTGGGCTGGAGGGATCACATTACCCACGGTTCCTTTAAGAGGGTCCACAGAGACGGCCACGCCGCATGCTCCACACCATCCGACATGTCTGGACCGCCCACCCCTGTCCACACCAGCAGCCCCCTACGCACACAGGAAAGGTATTCCACGCTTTCTCTTAGTGAGGAGGGATGGTGGCGTCGGTCAGGGTGCTCCTCACCACCAGGGTGGAGAGAAACATGAATGAATGTATTTGGATAATGGCATCTGATCCGTGGGCCATTATACCTGGTATTAAAGGGTAACTTTAGTATTTTTTAACCTGGACTCTGTTCTTTTTATGTCTAAGTGACTAATGGGGGGCATTCATTTCTTTAATTGGTCCAGAATTGTGGGAGAACGCTGCAGTTGGCAGCCGCTAAACGGGCTGCAATGTAATCATACCAGGCAACTCCTTACGTCAAGGTACCTCCAATAAAAGTGCTACATTTTTTGGCTGACAGGCTCATATTGTTATTATAACATTATGGAAACAACCCTACAGAGAAAATGACCTTTCCGTCCTGTTTGTTTGTTGCAAAATACAGAAGGGCTCCTTTAATAAGCAAATATGTTCGGACCGCATTTACACCCGGCAGAGATCTAATCACAATGCGAGCCAGACCGCCTCCAGATGTGATCTGGCTGATCCGATCATATGGCATTCATCATTTACACATCAGTCATCATCCGCTGTTCCTTATCCTTAGATAGGATATCCAGATACAGCTCGCATGTTACAGCATGGTGAAAATTGAGCATTGATGATAATGAAGATTTATTTATTCTTACATTTAGAAACATTTCACTGGATCACGAGCAGGTCTGTGACAGTAATTCTCATGTCTATCCCTTTAAGTCCCAGTCCAGGAGGGAGGGAGTATGAGATCCGGACCACAGACATCATCGGCAGTGACTACGAGACTTCCGGGCCCCAGGACGGACACTATCGCGCCGATCTCATCGCCAGGGAATCCCCGGAAAGCCAAAGAAGCAGCACGGAGCCGCCGTCGGCCAGACATACGCAACCACACACAACCACACCTGAGCAAACGGAGCCCCACAACCACTGCACTGCACCAACAGACCCGTCCCCGACCGCGCCCCGACAGCAGCACTGTTGCCCAAATACACCTCCAGCTTCGGTGACGCAGAACCCATCTCCTTTTGATTCTGCAGCGCCGACCACATCAAACCAGCGGCTCTGTCTGGCTTCCTCATCCCCGATCCGTGCTTCGTCGGCACCAGACGCACACTCCCAGTCTGGCCCTCTCGCTCTCCTGACCCCCCATCCCTCCGAGGCTGCCGCTCTGCCTTCCACTGTGGCTCAGGCGGTGGCCCAGCCTCAGAGCCAGACCCAAACCCAGGTCCCCGGATCTTCTCCCACCAGGGAGCCACACCCAGAAGCCGCAAAACCCGCGATAACCCACACTGCCACGTCTGCCCCCACGTCTCCCGCCCCAGCTTCATCTTTATCCGCCCAGCCGGCCTCCAGCAGTATGGAGGGCTCCCCGGTCTCTGATGCCCCAGTTCCTGGCTTTGCCACTTTGGGTAGGAGGCTATTGTTGAGTGGGCCTGACCCCCACCACCCCAACCACATCCAGCAGCACGGACCCCCGCACCACCACTACCCAGGCACGGAGCACAGCGCTGCCGGGCACACATCCGCTCCGGACACCAACAAGAGGCCCTGCTACTCCGCTCACGCTCCTCAGCTCTACCCGTCCTCCTACTCCAATTACTCCACCATCTCCATCCCCCTTCCTCACCCCCAGCCACCGCTGCCAGAGAAGCGCCACCCGCCCGTTCAGTCGGGCTCACCCAATGACGGGGCGCCAACTCTGACGCCAGCCGCGGGCCACGCCCCTCCCTCCTCCGCCGCCGCCCAGCATCAGCTCCATGTCACGTTCTCTCCCACCGTGGGGGAAATTGTGCCCCCCGCAGGCAAAACCGACGGAGTGGCGTCTGTGGAGAGTGAGAACGCGAACAGGGTCAGTGTGAAGTTTGTCCAGGACAGTTCAAGGTTCTGGTACAAGCCTGGAATCTCCAGAGAGCAAGGTAGGCCATTCTTTTTTTGTGTCTTTTTTCTAATTTTAACAAATGTTTGCTACAAATGCATTTCACTGTATAAATTTCCCAACGTCTTGGTTGTGTTTCGCTGCAGCAATCGCTGCTCTGAAGGAGAGAGAGCCGGGAACCTTCCTGATCAGGGACAGCAACTCTTTCCAGGGGGCCTACGGCCTGGCCCTGAAGGTGGCTACCCCTCCCCCCAATGCCAACAACCACAGCAGCAAGGGTAAAGACGACCTCCAACTGTTTTAGGCAGCATTTGACTTATTCAGCAGTTGCTTTGTCCTTAGTACACAATGACACTTGCAGCTCGTTCACAGTGAATCTCTGCTGTTACAGTGAGTGACCCTCTGGAACAGCTGGTCAGACACTTCCTGATAGAAACCGGCCCTCGAGGAGTCAAGATTAAAGGGTGCCAGAATGAGCCCTACTTCGGTAGGTTTTCCTGCTCCGGCTTGACATCTGCATGTGTAGGACAATACTTTTAGTACCAGGAATGGAGCACCTTCAGGAAAGATCGTTATTTTTATTTGTACGTCTTGTTACTTCTGGGGGGATGTAGAATCTGTTTTTACTGCTGTCTGTTATCCACAGGGAGTCTGTCTCCATTAGTCTACCAGCACTCCATCACGCCCATCTCTTTGCCCTGCGCCCTTAGGATCACGGAGAAAGGTCGGTACTCCAGCGGCTGCAGCAAGATCATCTTTTTGATTAATCTCCAGATTATTTTCTCCATTCATCATTTTGTCTGTAAATACATACAATGAATAGATTGTCACTGTAGTGGTTGATTCATTTTCTGTTGATCTACAAATTGTTTGAGACTAGTCAAATTTGAACAGATCGACCCTTTAAACCTCACACTGATAAATAAGCTCTACGTGTTCGCAGATGAACTTGACGTATTTTACAGGAAATCTTCTTTTTTTCCGATTCTTATTCTATTTAACTCAGATCTGATAGGAGGGGTGCCGGAGGTTCAACCGGTGAATAACATCAGCACGGCCGCTGACCTGCTGAAACAAGGAGCAGGTGACTTCTCCATCCGGCCTTCTCTTCCTGAAACACAGAAGCACCTTTTGAGGCGTGGTCATCATGCTCACCTCTCTCTCCTCTCTGCCCCTCCCCCCTCAGCCTGTAACGTCCTCTACCTGAACTCGGTGGAAACGGAGTCCCTAACCGGCCCCCAGGCCATCGCCAAGGCGACAGACGCTTCCTTGGGTTGTAACCCTCGTCCCGCCGCCACTGTGGTCCAGTTCAAGGTGACGTCGCAGGGCATCACGCTGACCGACAGCCAGCGCAGGTAAGTCCTTCCTAGGCATTCCCTAATAAACAACAGACAGCACTGTAGCGACAGAGTTTCCGTGCTGTGCTGTCATTACACTTCAGTGATGTCTCTCCTGTCTCTCGCTCCATCTGTGTCTTTCTTCTTCTAGGGTTTTCTTCAGGAGACATTACCCAGTGAGCAGCGTAACCTTTAGCAGCATCGACCCTAAGGACAGGAGGTAGGCAATGAAAATACTATAAAGACTAGGAAGGACTTACCT